GGCTTTGGAGGCAATTTCAAATAACAGATTCAGTATCTAGAAGGTTCAGCCAAGCACGGCCAACTGCTACGACGAGCGTTGACGAACGATATTTGACATCATGTGCACGCAGGAATAGAACCGCTACTCCGATTCTTCTTAGATCCTCCCTTGCTGCAGCCACCGGAAGGTTGGTGTCAATGTCAACTGTGTGTAGAAGGCTTCACGAAGGTGGTCTGTATGCGAGGCGACCAGCCATTTGCGTGCCTTTCACGTCACGCCATAGGAGGGACTGTTTGCAGTGGGCACGAGACATGTTCACTGGACGCCTGATCAATGGAGGGCTGTTCTCTTTACGAATGAGTCCACGTTTAGTCAAGAAAGCGATAGTAAGCGTTATTTGATATGGAGAGAATCTGGAACCCGTTATCATCAGTCAAACATCCGTGAAAGAGATGCATACGGAAGAGGCAGTGTCTTTGTTTGGGGTGGCATCTCTTTGGCTGGACGCACAGATCTCCATGTCTTTCCAAGGGGAACCGTGAATGCTCAAGTTTGCAGAGATGACATCCTTGATGTTTATGTGTGCCCATATGCCGGGGCTATAGGGGATGCTTTCCTGTTAGAGGACGACAACACAAGACCACACAGGGCTCGCATCGTAGATGATTATCTTCAACAGGAAACAATTATGCGCATGGAGTGGCCAGCTCGATCCCCCAACTTGAATCCTATCGAGCACATTTGGGATGCTTTAGGGAGATGCCTAGCTGCTCTCAATCCGCCCCCTCAGACCCTTGTTGCGCTTGCAACTGCTTTGCAAGAGTGATGGCTCTTGCTTCCTATGGAACTGATATATCGCATAATTAAAAGCATTGTACATCACTGTATAGCTTCTAGAGGTGATCATATTCCATATTGAAGGTACTTTTCCTATAGCAAACTGACACCTTCGATTTGTTCATTTTATACATGTGCTAATTTCTATACTACCATATTTATCTGGTAATTTCTTTTTATGTTAGATACTTTACTATGTGTTGTATATTGTGAGTAAGTTTCATTAAATTCTACACGTAACTTTTTCAGTAATCATGATTTTTGTGATTTTTCCTTAATTTATGATAACCAGTGTATATATATATAAAGGATATTTTTAGCAATTTAAACACCTGACATTTTACCCCCAATTACCATTTGATTTTAATAGATCTTAACAGTGAAAGGGATATGGATGTTTTTACAAGAGCCTAAAAAAGATTTTCATTTGAGTGATGAATAGTATGCCTCTGGATACAATAAAATCGTGTTAAAATAACTCGGGGGGGGGGGGGAGGAAAGGGAAACTAGAAATATTTCTGAAATAAGCTGTAACTTACCAGGGTTTGTGTCTAAAAATGTAATACATAACAATTTGACATAGCACCAGAATAAGAATCAACACAGAGATATATCTTAAATCATTTGAGGTTATTCATTAGCTACATGATGGATTATGAGACAATTTTCCTCTTTCGATACAAGATATAGCTACTCATAGTTGTAAGATTCAATGTACATCATTAAATACAACATTTTGCAGAAATTTACAAAACATCAAAACAGCAATGGGCTACAACAAAATTTCAAACATTTTTTGAACGAACAATTATTTAAATAAAATTCTGTTCTTGTAAGCCAAATCTTAGGAATCAATAAAGCCAAAAAATATTAATAAAAATCTTATATAAAAACTAAATTATACATGTATAGCGTAAAAATGTGAAAGTAATAGCAAAAAAATTATTGTGGCAGACAAACATGCCTCTCCCCCCAAGGGACTCTAAAAAAGTACTTTAACAGTGTGCTGGAATTCCTTTTCATTTTTATGAGTTAAAGTTCTTTAAGCATGAATTTCATAAAATTCTGACAGAGATTTGCATCTATTTCCTCTCAATTTTGTGGTGAGCTCTTCTTTAAGTTAAGACAAACCAGGCAGGAGGCCATTTATGTTAGAAGTTTTAAATTTATTAATTCTGTCTTGCAAATGATTCTAAATATGCTCAACAGGATAAAAGTCTGGACTCTGCAGAGCCATTCTGATAACACGTGGAGAGTTACACAAAATCCAGAGTTTGGAAATAAGATGATTATGCTTTGGATCATAGTACTGATATAGATAGTAATACTACAAATATGCTCAGTTCTGAAGTGCTCTGTGTCAATTCCTGTTTTAAAATATTTAAATACATAAATTTATTTATAGTGTGATAGATAATTAAATCATTAAATCTCCTGGATTTAATTAAATGAATAATTATATCAATTTCCTTTATTTATTGAAATCTAACACATGAAACTTTATTTATTAATATATGGTTGTTTAACGTTACTTTACATTGATAATATCAGTACGTATGGGATATTCAAATCCTCAGATATTGAAAAAGATTCAAGAACCCGATCTTGCAAATTTTCACTACTCAAAACGTTTTAATCCTCATATAAAATGTTTTTAAATATTTTAATTCAAAATTTTGAAATAATCAGTTTGACATTAAACAGAACCATTTATTGGAGAAAAAAATACAATTTTGCAGTTCTATTGGTACCTGGATCATCAATATTGCCACGCAGTTCCTCCAAGTATCACACTTTTCCAGTAACCCATCTAGTGGAAATCTCCAAATATTGTGTAGTAAACCAGTGAGTTGTACTTCCATGAACTTCTTGAAATTGACTCATAAAGTTCTTCAACAGTTCTAGACATAATTACCTACTACTTCAGATGTCCTGATATTTCTTGTAACTTATACCATCTAATACAAACATTATTATGCATGATTCCAGCAGTCAACCAGCTGAGAAAATGAATCCCAAGATTCAAGAGTTTTAATATTTTCATTTAATAAATTTCTTTTAATTAAATACAGGTTATACATTTTTTAAGTTTACTTCTCCCTTATTATTCATATAAAGAGATTCAAATTATAACTAAAATTCCTTTTACAACACTAATTCAAGAAAACTTAGAACTGGATTAGATTATTTGATTAAAGCAAAGCATATCTGGACTATCTATTGTAACTGAAGAGTTACCATTGTGCACTTTCCACACGAAAGTGGCTCGTATTTACATTATGCATGAAGAAAAGCATAAAAAAGCCCATACTTGAATTGTCAGTGCTCGATGGTCTTAGATACTCGCACACTGCAGGGTAAAAAAAATTTAACCTTTGTCTCGTGTCTAACGTCAGTATTAATGATACATATACATTAAGTTCATTTGAAATTTAAGATAGCTATGTTGCATATGTAAAACTAGAGCTGAAAGGTAAAAAACTCATGCCAATCTTGATATCATGGTGATGAACATATCCAAAATTGTGTCAGAAATATTTCTGAAAAGTTGTTTAAAAAGAGATACATTAAACAAAGAGAAATACTATGATGAAATAATATAACTTGACTCTGAAATTGAGAGATGTTTACATGAATTTACTAGACTAGAACCAATTGTTACATTCATGTGTTACCCATTTGGCCATGTTGATGTGGAAGAAATAAAAGACAACAGAAGTTATATTTCTCTTTATATCTTTGAGAAAAATGAAATATTTCTCCTTCAAAATGACAATTTTAAAAGCAAATAGTTGAAAACCTAAGAACAAGTTTTGAAATCTAATGGACGATATCCTAATTTAAAAAAAAAAAAAGTTGCATTTTAATTATCATCATCTTTTTGCTCTACCTACCAGTGTGAATCTGCATTTTCAACATGAATATAATTAAGACAGCATATTGTTCCCCTCTCACAGATGACTACTTAGAATCCAATGCAGGATTAGCAGTTAGTAATTATATACCAGATATTCAAGATTGGCAGACAGTATGCAGGCTAAGTTTTCTTACTATAACTGCAAGAACTATAGATGAAAATGATTTATTTTGAATTGTTTGATAAGAAATGCATCATTTGAAATTATTACATTTGTGGCTATTATTATTATGCCTGTATCCTGCATTTTGCTTTAAACAGTTTAAAAAGAGTAAGTTTTGTAGTTAGGTAGCTACATACATATTCTGTATTCATTATTAAATTATTGTGGAAATTGTAATAAATACTGTAGACCTTTTTTTAAGCTCACCACACCTATGCCACTGGGTGGACTGCAACACCTTGAAAAAATTAGAAGTAACCTGTACCCTGAAAAATGCTGCCTACCCCTGCTTTACAGCCACAGATGTGAATAACATATAGCCTATTGTTACCAGTTCGAATAGTTTAAGGGTCTTTCTTTCCTAAACCTTTTTTTAGCCACAAAAAACTTCATGCTGCATTATCAAGAATGTGACTGCTTGGATTAAATTTGAAACTGTCATTCTTTGGAGAGCAAATTACCTTCAGATAATATCATAACAAATGAATCTTTAAATAATAATTACTTTCTTAGGGATTCATTCATATGTACACTTTACAGGCAAGCCATAATAAAGAAGGCTCACTTCTTTAAATCAAACTCCTAAATACAATGAAAAAACTGTACACTCCATGATCTTGTACCACAAATGAAATAAAAATTTAATAAAATTTTTAGACCTGCTACTGTATTTTTTCACAGAATGCACATTAATCAATAGGTACATAATGGGCATTAACACTAAATTGTGCAGTTCAACAGTGAGAAAGAATAAAAAAGAAAATACTATCCAAAACACAATAAACCATTATTCAATCAGTTATCGATAAAAAGTTGATGGCTGAATGCTATTTACACATTTTTTTGATCATAAATATCAAAATTTAAAAAAAATCTAAAGCTTATTATATTTTTTCCACATGCCTTATTACAGATTAACAAATAAAATTATTTTTGATACACCAAGGAATGTCTAAAGCACATGTATTTTTAATAAGACAAAAACAACAAATATCAAGAACAAAATTCACAATTAATCTATAGGTTGAAACACAAGCAAAATATGAACCAAACCTTTTAAAAACAAACAAAGAAAATAATAATTAATTGTATTTTTCTCACCCTAGTGAAACTGTGGATGTTGGTTCTTGATCCATTGAATCATCACCAGTACTCGATGCAGGTGATTTACCATCAACTATCCTAGATACAGACTTTTCTACAGGATCCACTGGTGTAGGTGAGCTTAAATCCACTGATATTGAATGAGCCACTCGAACTTTCTTAGCCATATTTTCTTCTGCCGGAGGTGGAACTATTTTTCCAGTGCATATTTTACAATTCAAATCAAATAAATGTGAACGGTGAAGATGAGTAGTATCTTTAGCAACATCTTGAACCTCTGGTTTATCCCCATCAGACAATTCTTCTGCTACACCCTTTTGTGAAAGTTTCGGAACATCTTGCTACAAAGAAAAATAGCACATTAAAATAAAGAATTCAAAATGTCACCAAGTAAGTTGTCTTTACAAAAAAATATTCCCACATATAATTCAACCAGAAACAGTGACTTAGTTGTGAAACACTACAAAGTCTGAGATCCAGACTCATCAGGACTTTGGTGATTCTGGATTTGGGATGTTTCGGAATATTGGATCACCACTTTAAATCTAATAAGACAAAAAGAAACTATAAAATTAAAAATATGACTCAGTCATTTATGAAATAATGAAGCCTTAAATTTATTCCCTTTATTAAATATTTCTTTCAATGTAAGTTGTTTAATTTGCTTAGTTTTTTCCTGTATTAATACTTTTTCTTCAATTCTATAGACAGATATAATTTCTTGTTCAGTTACAAAGTTCCACTGTACATACCCTGTAACTGCATGTTGAAAATTTTCATTAAACTGTAAATTGAAACTTTTTCGTTCTCAACAACATGTCTGTCTCTTTCTTCACGATCGGATAGTGATATTTTCTAGAGTTAGAACCATACTACAAATTTCATCGTTTATCAGCTGAGGCTATATTTCTTCACAAATTCCATTAATTGGATGAGCAGTAAAAAATCGCTGAACGATACAGTACAAATCCAGAAATCCGGAAAGCTTGGGACCAGAGGTTGTGCGGATTTTAGGATTTTGCGGATTTCAGGACAGAAAGGATCACATCAGGTATAATATTCGGACTAAAAGTAGAAAATAAATAAGGCATATTAGATACATTTAATTAAATTATTATATACATTACTGCAATAATTTATTATACACATTAAATTATTATTATATATACAGTCAAAAGTCTTTAATCCGGACGTCCATAATCCGGAATGATCTATAATCCGGACCTCAAAGCTACAAACTTTCTGCGCATGCGTAAACGCATGCACATAATACGTTTATGCAAGCGCGTTTAATGTATAATGGACGGTATAAGCTAAGCTAAAATTATCTAATTATCTATTTCAGTTAATTTTGCAGATCACGTTGTTCCTTAATCTTCGAATTGAATCTGGATTATTATTTTTTGCAGACTGTCAGAGCAATTTTATAAAAGTAAGCTTGAACTTTCGATTATGTCAAAAAGAATTTCTGATTATGGAGCTGCCAAAGGATCAACAAAGCGAAACCATGTTTCGATGTCCATCAAACAAAAAGTGAAATTGCTTCAAAAAATGGAAAAAGGCATATCCTTTGTTTATCTAACCATTCCGAAATCTGTTTATCAATTTCACGTTGCTCTGCGGGGGGAGGGGGGACGTCGCGGCGCACAATGAACTGCGAGTTGATCTGTCAGCACTATCCTTATCTTCAGGGCAGATGTTTTTATTTTATTCGGCTTATAATTCCTTACTAAATGTAGTATTTCATCTCGATGTACTCCGTCTTTGATATGATTTAAATCAAATTCCTCGTCATTATAAATATAACGAACACACATCAAATAGTTTCTGGTTGCAATTTTCTAATTTCGACTATGCGCAATGTATGCTTTACGCATGCGCGCGTTGAAAGAAATGTTTAATAAAGTAAAATAAATATTAAGTTTTTTTTGTAAATTTTGACACCCTTTAGATCATAATTGCTCTTTATTTTATAAATTACAGTTTCATACTTTTAATTATATAATTTCTGCATGCCATCTTACCAGATTTAAACTGATGATCTATAATCCGGAAAAACTGATAATCCGGAATCGCTGAAGTCCCGACGAGTCCGGATTAAAGACTTTTGACTGTATAAATTGATTATATTATTCTTTGTATTATATGTACACAGCATCAAGGTTTGCCGATTTCGCCTCATGCAAAGAGTTCTGGTTTCGGATTCCGGTGTTAGAATCACTGTTGCTGTAAAATTTAAACAGCTTTTCTTTATTTTTCATACACAATCGTGTCGCAATTCCATACCATTCTGCTATAAATCGAGGAGTAGCACCTGCCTCCATCTTTTGCAGAAATTGCACTTTTTGTGTTACCATCAATGCAACGTGTTTACGTTTAACATTGCAAGCAGTAAAATCATGAGTGCGTTTCTTATCTGTCATTGTATTAAAAAGGGCTGAAATTTAAAATATTCTTAATTTATCCACAAAATATCCGCATAAAAAAAAGGCAGCACTAAACAATCTCGTGAAATAACAAAGCTCGGAAAATACAACATAGATCATGAACTTGAACGAAGAGTTGAGTGAATTGTCTGCTTTTTTACCTCGATGCAGATTAGAGGGGGGAAAAAAAATTATCTTATTTATTTTATTTTTTGAACTTTTTTTGTGTCAATAATTTGGTATTTCCGTTATGACTCATTATCATTCGGTAAGTATTTTTTCTTCGATATTTCGTACTCAATGCTGCAGTTTCCGGAACCTATAAACTGAATGTTTATATTTTGCGAGGCAACGCGGATTTCAGGAGTTGGTGGATTTCAGGTCGGCGGATTTTCGGTATTTGACTGTAATTCCAAGCACTGTTCGAATGCAGGCAAATGGACGGTGGTTTTCTCAGTGTGTAACATGTACATGAGCCAGGTTCCCTTAAAAAGTCCTTCACAAAGGCATCTCTCCCCTTAGTCAGATATCCCTAGTAAGCCTTGTAATAATAAACTAAACCAAGCCAACCATTAACTGGAAAATTTTCCTTTCTGTTTGCAATATCTGAAAACCTTGAAATTCCGGCTATTATAAAGCTTGGCTAGAATCTGCTATATACTATTGCCAGGCATCATGAGATCGGTGATGACATCTTGGTCTGCTAAATTTGGTCTTGCTTCTATCACATGCTGACACAGTTAACCCTGAATTATATTATTTTAATTATTTATGACATTTCCCGCATATGCTTGAGGTTTACCTAAATCCTGAATGAATAAATTCCCAGATATGCTCAAGGATTATTCAGGGATGGCACTAGAAATTTTGCAGCCCAGTGCCAGGTTCTGCGGGTCAAAATTCTGCTGCCAAGCACCTCCCAAAATTCTAAAAATTTGGCCCCCCAAAGCCTTTCCTAAATTCTAAACATTTCATCATCACTTAATTTTGATGCTCAGTGCTTCTCTAAATTCTAAAAATTTTGCCACATTGGCACCGGTCATGGGCTTAACTGAATAACAAATAAGTTACTACACTTTACAGCACTAAATGTAATCCTTTGGCCTATGCATATCATTTACAAAATAATTTTTTTTATATAAAATCTGTGGAACTTAATAATGATTTGAAATTAGAAGCCTTGAATCTGTGTGGTTTTCATTATTTGAATCTTTTGAATCCTAAACTAAAAAATGTTGACTATTTTAACTCAGAACTCTGGACAATTTATTTTATTTATGTCCAACTGCAATTTGTCATACTTGGATCAACAATAGAATTTCATAATGGTCAAGTAATGCAATTTTACTATGAAATCTAGCAGAATCTGCTGGAATTTGGTAATCAGAATACACTGCATTCTCAAAAATATTTCTTAAATCATCACTTGTCTCAGAAGTTTCACACATAGAAATCACACACTAATACAGACGTTTTTAGAAACTGTCATTTCTTGATATATAAGTGCTGCATTAAGTATGAGTTCAGATATGTACCAGTATTTAATGTTTCATGTTTAACATTCACCCACGCTAACTCTTCAAATAACCCCATCTTGTTTGATTTAAAAAATCTGAGATAATGTCAAAATTTTTGGTTGTCACTAAAATACCTGTAATCAAATTGTGCTCACAAAATGAAATTCAGTATAAAAGTTTTAACTTTGCACTTTGTTTACTAACTTTCAGCTATATGAATATAGGAGAACTTTTAGGATTAAATTTGTTTTTTTGTTGCTGAATGCAGTTTCCAAACTTCGTTCATGAAAACTTTTCACTAGCATCCCATCTGGGTGGAGTGTCAATCAAATCCTTATGCATTTGGTTTTAATCATTGGTGATAAGTGTTGCCCCTGCTTTGTTTGCTCACTGTGAATGTTTAATATGTGTGCGGCAATAGAAAATCTTGCGAGTTGTGAAGTGCAATCTGAGATTAGATTTTTGCAAAAAAAACTAAGACCAATTGAAATTTATTGAGAACTTTGCACGGTGTACGGAAACAATGTAAAGAATGAAGACAGAGTGAGACAATAGTGCATCATGTTTAAAAATAGCTGCACTAATGTTCATGAGGAAGCACGAAGTGGCTGGCCGACCATTGTTAATGCTGAATTGGTAGAGAAAATCAGTTAAAAGATTCTCGAAAACCAATGCCTTACAATTTTGGAGCTCTTACTAGAGTTTCTTCAAATTTCACAAACTTTACTATTTGGTGTTGTGATGCAAGATCTATTTTGTCATTACTGCTATCAAGAAAGATCATACCAACTGTTTTCTGGGACAGGGAAGGTGTGCTTCTGGTGGATTACCTCGAATGTGGTGAAGCAATAAATAATAAGAGAGATTGTGAAACATTAAAGAAATTAAGAAGAGCAATACAAAACAAGTGTCAAATCATAGCAAATGAGCTAGCTACATGGGAGTTTTTGTAGTTTTCTGTACATGTAACATGAATGTAAGACAGTCCATGAAATCCTCCATGAAAAAAATTCACGCAGGAAAAATGAAAAGCTCCTCCCTTCATATCTAAGATCACTTGAGCATGCACATGGATTTGATATAACAATATCTACATATATGCTCAAGTCCAAGTGAAGTGAAAGAATCCCAGCTTACCAATATGAAGTGAATAAACTGTTTTGATTTTTGCTGCATATTGCATATGTGCCATAAAGATTAAATTTACAGTTAGTTGGTTAATTAATTAATTTTATTGTTTGATATTAATCATTAATTTTATTTTTAAGCACATTTATTGGCACTTTTATAAAAACTGAAAATTTATAAAATGAATTTTACATAATGTAAAATTTATGAAAAATTGTAAATATGAATTGTTTCTACAACCCTACAGCTGAGGTATTTAAACTTTCCTATGCAAATATATGAACCCCAAATGAATAACATGGATCTAATACCAGCAAATAGTTTCATGATATCAGACTCCATTCACATCTTTTGTTCACACCTGTGAAGAATTTTTGGATTCTCTAATAACTGTAATCAGAAAGATTATTCTTATGAAAACCACACTTTTGTCACAATATGTTAAAGCATAGTCACAAGAAGAATGTCCAGGAAACTTTATTGAGTGCAAATGGACAGCATTCTTGTTAATAACACCTACTTTGAAAGGCTGCAAGAACAACCAATCGGGCACCCTAAAAATCTTATTTAGGGATGGCTGATTGTTCCTTACTCCACACAAGGCCAATCTGTGATGGGGCCATTATAAGCCATGTGGTTTGAACTTCACATTCATCCAAAATGTTAGTTTACACACAGAATGGCAGAAAAGGATAGAAATGTCAGATTAGCAAAATTAAAGATCATTTGCAATGTTTTGTGCAAAATTAAGAACTTTTAAGGACCAAAATAACTAAAAAATGTATGTACTGTGCAAACTTTGGCTTGATCGTTTAGGTACTGGTGGGTGTGGCATATTGATTACAGCATGACCATTTGGAATATATATATTTATCATAACATCAGCAAAATCATTCTTATACAGAAGTCATGCAATCCACATTTGGCACTTTTTATGTAAAATTTTGTCACATCCATAATTGTATAAAGAAGACAGAAATATATAATTATGGAATGTACATAATAGCTGCCATCTCTAAAATTTTTAGCTTTATTCTGTATTAGATAAATAAGAACATATGTATTTCTTCTGAAATTATTAACCTGATAAATTCTAATGAACTGCAAGAAATCTATAATAAATTTCAGATGAAACCTATTTTGTCAGCGAATTAAGTCAATAAATAATGCATACAGTTACTTCTTCACTTATTGTCTGGAAAAATATGTTTTCAAATACTGTCTAAAATGTTTTATTAGAAACTTTATAATAATAAACATGTAAGGTAAAATAATAAGAATATAAGTTATAATGTATGTCATACATAAATCTACATTTAAAAATATACCTTCTACCAAAAAATACTGTATTGAAGTGAGCTCCTAAAATAAGTCCTGAGACAAAAAAAGGGAAAAAAAAAAAAAAAAAAAAAAAAAAAGGAACTTACAAAAAGCATGTATTCTACTGTCTATATCAACAATGCATGTGAAAGATCACAAAGACTGCTGGATAGAATAAATTATGATGATTCAACACATGGAATAGCACCTTCATTGAAGTACTTAAAACACATGTATAAACTAAATGCATTTGACAAATAGAAATAAGGGACATTAATTTTGCAGCAGCTTACAAACTAACTATAAACTATTTAGCTGCATTCACTTATCATCAAAGTAGTTAAGTTTGATGAAGTACTTAACAGCCTGAATGAGACAACACCTAAGGAGAATGGGCAAGGATTTTACAGCTTCAAAGACAGGCTCATTAAAAGGAAGGAAATACTTCAGCTATTGACTTAGGATTCTGAGAACAATACTTTGATGTATTTCTGGGACTGAAAGAGTTAAATATTGATTAATTCAGAGGATTCATTACATAAAGATACTCATTAGCTCACATTTCTCAAGCTATTAAAAGAATATCTCATAATCCACTTATATAAAAATGAGAAAAGATGATAAAAAATATCTGATTCAAGGTACAACTTGTCTTTTAAGGTTAGAAGTAAACCAACAGTTTTCTGGTATTACTTTTGCTTGCCATTTCTTTGAACAATTTAATCTTTCATATCTTATTTAATTTCTTTTCATGTAATGCACAAGGAAGAACCATTATATTGAATACTGATCTTTTGAACTTAATGTATTAATTTTACATCATTATACGGATAGAAGTAGATGTGATATGCAGAATATATTTTTCATATAAACAGCAATAAAGTTTTTAAATAAAAAATGCAGTTACAAAAGCAAGCATACTTCAATTATATTTGTAAAGTCATCTTCTATTTCAACTTCCCCTTTGTGAGTTTTCTTCAATAAAAGCCCACTTCCAGTTTTTTGTTGCTCCAGTTGAACTCTTTTAATCATATCCAATAACTAAGAAAAATAAGCATATGAGTCAAATTATTAATGAGGAAAAAATTAAAGAAAAAATTTCAAAAGCTTTTAATTTGCAATAAGCTATACATGTTGATTCTCTTGTTCTCTCCATTTGGCCAATTCCATTGAAGCTAACTCTTCTGAAGACATACGTACCAGACGATCTGGCGGTATATTACCTGTCAAGATCTTTCGAAATAAGCCCTAAATTTAAAAAAAAAAAAAAAAAAAGGATTACATGATATTTTTGCATCAGATTAATACACAAAATTAATGAATTTTAAATCAATTTCTCAAAAGCATGGACTAATTAATTATATTAACCAACAAATCCAAAAATTTGCACCTTACCTGATTACGAGGGTCTTTTATGTTAAACATAAGACTTCGATATTTTGCCCTGTATTTAAAGCTGTTGTCTTTAAAAAGTGAATGAAGTTCCTCTTCAATTTTTACTGCTATTCTGCGTATTTCATCTTCAGTCATTTGAATATCATCTGCATTTTTGCATCTTAAAAACACAGGTAAATTGAGTACAAAAACATGTAAAAGAAATTTACATGTATAATGCAAGCAATTATAGATGGCAGATTAAAATTTAAAAAAATATCTTTTCTATAAATTATGCTAAGTTTGATGAAAATGCAATTTTAAATCTGTTGCTCGATCTTCTACCTAAAGTTAAAATATCATAAATTGATTCATAATTTGAGCAACCCATGAAATTATCCATTTCATATATAGTATGAAAATATCCTACAATGATTGGCATGGTAAACAATAGCTTAAATCATTACATTATGGATACATAAACAAAGCCAGACTTCCCATACAACCTTATTCTGCTCCCTCCCCCAAGAAACCTTTCACAGATTGTAATAAAAGTGCAGAATTTTTTTTAAACAGTCAGGTTTTAGAACTTCAGTACTTTATTTATCATTTATAACCTCTTAAAAATAACATGCTCTTTGCTTTTCTTAACTTTGTCGCCACTCTTCTGTATGAATGCTTTAGCACAGGTCCACCAAGTAATTATCGCCTTACACATATCAAGGAGTTAAAAGCAGTTCTATGCAAATTATTCCTTTCAAATTTTTATGATAAGCAACTGTTACTTTTGAATAGCCTCCCTGCTATACCCATGTATGAAAGCAGCACATTACTTTTGCTGAATTTTGAAAATAAAAATTTGCTTATTAAAATTTTAGTGTCATCTCTTGGTTCCACCATTCATCATTAACAAATGATAATACAATTCTACATAATAAATGAAAGGAGCAAAAATCAAAGATAATGACAATTATTTATTAGACACCATTAAAGCTGTGCAAATTTTCAACTGGCGAGATCTTTCTAGTACATTCTAGTTCTTGAGAATTCTGGAAAGCAAAAAGAGTGTGGAATTATGGTTACAGCTAACACAGCGCTCAATTACATTTATTCAATTTTAATACAAATTACCGAGATATCCATTTAATGTCCATGCCCCTGTATTTGTGCCTTTCTGGCATAGCTTTCTTTTAAAATTTGACTTGTGCTGCATTGCACGTGGAAATATAATTTTAATTATAATTCTAGTAAAATTAGCTATCTAAACGCGAAATTAGTAACACTGCCCCCTTCCCAAGGACTGCACGTCCCGGGTAGTACAATACCTGGAAGGAAGCCGTACTTATAATAAGGCATCAATGCAATAATAAACATTACAATACAATAACAAACAAATCGAATACTAAATAAATTAGTGCACAAATTTACAAACAAAAGAGGACCATGGTCTTCTGCCATTTACATTATATACACTATGTACTATGACCATAGAAAGAAGCTACTCTGTCATAATGAACAACTTTAAGCTTAGAATTAACGGATCCGAACCACGACGTCATTCAGCCTGTTTAGGACTGTGTAAGGACCATCCCAAAGTGACTGTAGTTTTGGAAAGAGTCCTTTCCATCCAATCAGATTCCACAACTACACCGTGTTTCCTTCATTGAATTGATGTCTTGCAGCTCTTGTGTCATATTGGGTCTTCATCTTCTTCATCCGCAAGTTGACTCGCTCTTGTGCAAAATTGTGTATCATTTCAAACTGTGCCTGGAGATCTTGGACGTACTCCTCAGGCGATAATGTGCATCCAGAGGGCTACTAAACAAAAGATCATGACTGAAAAGCATCTGGGATGGGTAATAGAAGGCAGTCTTGTGGACAGCACTGTAATAAGCCAGTAAAAACAGAGGTAACTTCTTGTCCCAGTCCTGTGGTTTTCTAGAAACCACCAACAAGAGGTTATTAGGGATGGTTCAATTAAGCCCCTCCACCATGCCTCTGACTGTGAATGTAGAGGTGTTGTTTGGGTTTTGACAAGTAGTTTGCAAGGTTATTTAATTACAGCCAAAACAAAATTGCTTCCTTGATCGGAATGTAATTACAGAGGAACTCCAAACCTGGAAATCATTACCTCTGCTACTGTGACAGTCTCTTGATCAGGAATAGGATATGCTTCAGGCCACTAGGTAAAGTAATCAATCACAATGAGGATGCATTTGTTGCCATCAATAGTTTGTGGCAGAAGTTCCAAGATGTCAAAGGTCTGCGTTCAAAAGGCACTCCTACATTTTAATGTTGCATCTTGCCTCGATTGCGTTTCTCCGGTCTTTTCCGACCCGCACAGGAATCACAAGATTAGCACCAATTTTGCCCATCATCCCTTGCATTACTCCAGTAGAAGCATTCCCAAACTCTTAGCAAATTCTTCATTATTCTGAAGTTGCATCCTGTAGGGGTGCTATGCAGTTCTTTAATAACGTCCGGGATCTTGGAAGTATCAGGTGCCTCAAAATGTCTTACCATCATCTGATTCGAATTTCCAGTACAAGAAGCCGTTTCAAACATGGAGTGAGTCCCAAAGAGCCCAATATTGTTTTGTCATTGAACTATAGATTGAAATGTCCTGCCAGACAGGTTTTGTGTTTGAAGACTCCATAAGTAATTTATGGGTTTAATGTTGCCGTCGTCCAGCTGGTCATTTCTGATTTTGTCATCCCCCACGGGTATCGATCAGCTCATGCTGAAAGTGTAACTTGTCATATGAACATATTCAGCAGCTCGTATTTTGTTTCGACCCTGGAACTATATTAACAGCTTCCTGAGCAAGGTCTTCTAGCTAGGGCGTCGGCATTTCTCCCTTCCAATGATGAAGAGTGATGTCACATTCCTGGACTCTCTGTATCCATTTGGCTATTTCGCCTTCAGGAGTCTTGAAATGTAAAAGGCAGGTCAATGATTCATATGTGTGGAACAGGAATTTGGGACAAAACAGCACTAATATTTTCATTGCTCGCATCTGTGTCTAGAATAAATGGTATGCCGAGCTGAGGATACATCAGGATTGGAGCAGATGTTAAAGCTTCCTTCAGGCTGTTAAACGCATCCTCACATTCTCTTGTTCACAGAAACTTTAGCTTGCTCTCTCTCAGCTTGTGAAGGGGTCTTGCGATGGAAGAAAAGTCCTTCACAAATCTCCTACAGTTGATTCCAAGTCCTAGGAAACTTTTCAGCTGTTGAAAATTTTCAGGGCATCTCCAGTCTTTAAGTCTTTAACTCCTGACACTTTTGCAGGACACTCACCTTCAGCAGAGAAGACATATCCGAGGTAAGTAACTTTCTGTCTGAATAATTTACATTTGTTCCAAATTAACTTTAGATTGGCTTCTTTAAGTTTCTGAAGCACCTTTTCTAAGATTTTCTAGGTGTTCTTCAAAACTCTTCCCAACAATAATGTCATCCAAGTACATTAGACAGGCTTTGCAGGAAAGACCTATGACCATGGTCTCAATGAGGCTTTCAAATGTAGACGGCGCATTACACAGTCCAAACGGCATCACCTTGAACTGCTAAAGTCCTTGCCCAGTAGTAAAAGCTGTCTTTTCTCAGTCATCAGGATGTATCTCTACCTGCCAATATCCACTCCTTAAATCAAGCATTGAAAACCACTTGCTTCCAGAAAGAGTATTCAGAATATTGTCAATTCTAAGGAGAGAGTAGCTGTCATTCTTCCTAACCTCATTCAATCAGTGATAGTCAATACAAAATCTAGTTGAACTCTCTTTCTTTCTGACTAGGACAACAGGAGATGCCCATGGACTTAATGAAGGCTTGATAACATTGGTTTCTTGTATGGTCTTTAAAGCTTTTATTACTTCTTCCTGTTTAGCAATAGGTAGAGGTCTTGAATGCTGCTTGATTGGTGGGTGATCGCCGGTATTTATTTTATGCTGTGTCAAAAGACGAGCAGGAGAAAGCATCTTGAAACTCTTGAATAACACTTTTGGCAGTACTCCTCTCTTCATGATTTACGTAATTGTGTATTCTGCAGTAACTCCGACGTAATGCCCTCTGAAGACATGGATTCTGAAGGGTTACTGTTTCGTTTAATGCTGGTCACTAGAGTACATTCTGCAACCACTTCACCTTTCTCACTTTATTGCTGTCGTTGGCAACTCTCACCGGTACAACCATCTTCAATAAGTCTATGAGTGCAGAGGCAACTAGTACTCCACACGTGGTGTTAAGAGTTCTTAAGATATTCCAATATACCATACAGAAAATTTATGTTTTCAGCTATGGACCCAAGAAGTAAATTCTGTTCTTGCTGGTATTGTGACATTGTTTTGAGCTATGATTTGATGGTCAGATTTAATTTCTTTATTATTAATTGCATACAGGTTTATGTCCTTAGAGGCAGAATGCAATTAGTTATTTTTAAAGTCAAAGGAAAAATTGTATTTCCTTAGAAAGTCAAATCCAAGTATGCAAGGATCTGCAATATTTGCCACATAAGCCATGTGATGATAGGCAGCACTTCCAAAATGTGATGTTAATGTTTAATTTTCCATCAATGTAAATTTTATCACCAGATACAGCTTGAAGGGTTACACAAGGCGGCATCCAGATAAGTTTACTTTTCAGTTGTTGAGACAAATATTTTCAAATGATGGTAACATTGGCTCCTGTATCAATGGTCATATTGCAAGGAACCCCATTCATATGTTCCAAGATGAAAAGTTCATTACTGCCGCCACTCATTGCAGACAGCAAAAGCTCTTAAAACTGGGGTCGGCAAAAGCTCAGCAAAAGCTCTTAAAACTTTTCATCATCTGGCAACCTCTGTTCCATGAGATGGCCACTAATTAGTTTCCCTTCTTCTTGTTAGCAGAGGTCCCTAGTTAGCAGAGGTTCTGCAGTTCCTTCATATGTGGCCTTCAGCATGGCAGTTCCAGTACTTTAGGACCAGTTTCTTGTCACTATTATTCCACCTCAAGACACTGACTTGTCTAACTAAATCATCCAGATTAGCAGTCACTTCATCCACTGGCTCTTGAACTTGAGCAGTTCTGATTGAGTGGTGGTCTTTACGAGTTGCTTGCTGGGCAGCTTCGAACTTCATGGCATACACCAGAGCACTTTTTAAATCCTTGACATCTGCCATTCGTAGAGCCTTCTGTATTT